TCCTTGGATGGCGGTATTTCTCCCTGTTGCTATTTTGCATCTGGCTTCTCCGGATGTTGGTTACAGCCTTATGAAGATTTTCACGCCTTTCTTCTGCGGTCATCTGGTCGTTGAGGAGGTCGTGTAGATTCCAAATGTTGGCAAGTGCGTTGTTAGGATGGAAATTGTGCATAAGTTCGAATGCGGTGAAATTCGTGCTTGAGTTTCTTGCACTGTTTAGGCATAATTGAATTTCTCCCAGATTTTCATCCCAATTAGCTTGTTCTTTATCGTAATAGCACCTCAATAGAGTCCCAACGTTTTTTATATATCTCTCAGATGTATTCGTGGCAGCGTGGTATGGGCTTATGGTTTTGTGAGTAATGTAGTTTTTAAATAGATGAGCTTTAAAAATCCTGGAAGTGTAGTACTTTGCGTTATCAGTCAATATAACACGTGGCACAGAATAGTTGCCATAGATTATTTTCAGTTTGTCTATAATTACAGTCGAGGTACACTCTCTCATCGGAAATAGCCAAATAAAGCCTGTGAAGGAATCCACCACTAACAAAATGTATTTGTTACTCCGTTTAGATCTAGTTATAGGCCCGTAAACATCAGTAAATAATGTATCCATAGGTCGTGAAATAGGGTGTGATAATAGTTCACCTTCGTATTTGCGATGCGCAGGTTTGGCGCTCATACACACTGTGCATGCTTTGACTCTTTGTCTGATGTACTCATTGAGCTTAGGGTTGTAAAAATATTCATTAGCTTTCATTTTAGTGCGCCATTCTCCTTGATGGCCACCTGTACTTAGCCAAGTGTGAAAATACAAATATATTACCGGAAATAATTTAGCAGGTAAATATATTCTTTCTCTATTGCGCCCATTGTTAAACATGATTAGATTTTTCTTCAAGAAATAACTCTTATTGTTAGTATCATCCAAAATACTACGCTTGATGTTTTGACATTCTTCATCATTTGCTTGGTGTTCAATGAGATCAGTGAAAGCAACCGGAATTTCAGATATAATATTGTTAAAGCGCAGCTCAGAAGTTATCGCCCTGTTATCAGGAACACTCTGTCTCTGTCCCTCGAAGGATCTGCTGTGGTGATTATCTGAAGTGACCTTGGCCTCCGTCGAACGCTCGTTTGCCCTTGCCTCATATTCGGCTAAAATATTCACTGTTCGGGAATTATTATCTTCTTCCTGGAATAATCGGGAGAGACAATCCGCAACTTGGTTAGCTTTTCCGGGAATATGAACAACCTTGTAGTCTAAGCTTAATAGTTTCTCTACCCATCTGGACAGTCTTCCTAGCTTACTTTTAGTATTTAATACAAAACTCAATGCTTGGTTGTCTGTGTGTAATTCAAATTTTCTTATCTTCAAATATTCCGCCCATTTTTCCATACAGCAAATTACAGCTAGACACTCTTTCTCGTATGTTGTATACTTCCTCTCTGCGTCTGTAAATTTACGGGAATAATAAGCCACGGGTCTCAACTCATTGTTTACATCACGTTGTAGCAAGGTACCTCCGGCTCCTGTGTTACTGGCATCGCACTGTAACACAAACTCTTTGTTGCAGTCTATTAACGAGAGAACGGGTGGATGTGTGATACACTCTTTAAGCTTATCAAAAGCTTTTTGGCAATCTTCGGTCCATTTAAAGCGAACATGTTTCCTCCTAAGCTGGTTTAGAGGTAGGCACATGTCGGCAAAGTTCGGTATATACCGCGACCAATATGAACACATAGAGACGAATGACTTCACACCTCTGATGTTTTTTGGAACTGGAAATTTAAGTAGGTTTTCTACCCTGCTTGGATCTATAGTAACTTGGTTTTGCGATATTTTGTGACCAAGAAAACAGATTTCTTTACAACAAAATTTCACTTTATCAATATTTACAGTGAGTTTGTTATCTGCTAAAATTTTGATTACTTCTCTTACGTGTCTCAGATGTGACGTTGCGTCCTTACTGTAAACAATAATATCATCGCAGTAACATATCAGGTTCTTAAATTTAATTGAGTGAAATAATTGGTCTAAGTACTGTGACAAGGCGCTTGTGCCTATCTGAATACCAAATGGTAGTCGTAAAAACTCATATTTGCCCATACCACCAACACTGAATGCAGTTAAATGCCTAGAATCTTCTGTAAGTGGACACTGGAGAAATGCTTTGTTTAGGTCGATAACGGTGTAATATTCGGCCCCTTGTAAATGCTGATAAATAGAGTTCAAATCACCAGCCGGAAAATCCCATTTATTTAATTTTTCATTAAGTTGAGCGTAGTTAATTACTAATCTGTCTCCTTTAGTGAGAAAACCAGGGCTGCTGTATTGCGATGTTGACCTCTGAATGACCCCTTGCTCGAGCCAATCGTCGATTATTTTCTTAACCTTAACGGTGGCTATTGGACTCATATAGTAGGGCTTAATTCTAACTATGGAATCGTCATGTACTGATAGCTGAATTTTATAGTCTAATGCTTCCCCAATTTTATTAGTGAATACTTGGGGGTAATCATTAACTATTTTATTGACCTCGTCCGCCATGTTTGGTGACCCTGTGTAAGCCATTTATATTACTATCAGGGTTAGATTGCCGAATATTCAACATTATAGGACTGCTCGGCTTACTTCTAAGATAGCATATTTCACGCCTCAAGTCTATTATAATCCCTCTATTATAAATGAAGGGTGCTCCTAATACAACTGGATAAGTGCACTCAGTGATAATTAAAAATTTCTCATACCACGAAAATCTATCCAATTTGATTTGTACTGTACATTCCTTCAAAACTTTTATCTCTGCATTATTAGCTGCGAAAATTTTCCCGGTCCAGTGATTGGTGTGTCTGATACATTTAATCTTCTGTAACTTAGTGAATAATTCCAGTGACATAAAGTTTAAGCTGGCTCCGGTGTCTAACAGACCTTCTACACTTAAACCGTGTTTAAAGTTGATTTTTACGCACGGTATTTTGCAGTTAATCTTCCCTTTAGGCTTACTAAACCTATCCCTTTTATTTCGATGCCATTGTTTGATGAGCTGCCTATACTCCTTTTTAAAGTCGGGTGAATGGTCTAGATCTAGACAGTTATCAGTTGAAGATTGTTCAACGGGGGTTTGTTCCGATGTGTAATTCAATAGGCCCACCCCCTTTTTAACTAGTTTTTTGGTCTCCTAAAACAATTACGGGCGATGTGTCCAGTTCGATTGCAATTATAACACACCGGAGGTGAGGGTGCAGTATTGGCATGACGGCTATTGTTAGGTCGCACGGGCACATGAGTGTTGTGTACTGCACCGTGGCTTGGACCGTGATAACCACCTCCTTGGTGAGAGTATTGTTGACAGTGCATAACTCCCGGGGTCTGGCGTCCATGTGTACGATTTGTCGGACCTAGGCTCTGATGTGGGCTTACTGGTTCGTATCCAGCTCTTATGAAGTCAGTAAACTGGACATTATTCAATTGTACGCATAATTTGTCTAAATCCGAGTACGTGCTTGGTGGGGTTTCAAACGCTAACCTTACTCTAATTTCAGGTCTGATTCCATTTTTAATTAAATCGACTATCTCAGTCTCACTCAGATTGGCTTTTAAAACAGAGTTCTGAGTTTTTATCTCATGTATGTAAATTGATAAGGGTTCTTGGGAGGTCTGGGGTCTGTATATAAGATCATGCCGTAGTCGTTCCCGCAGTGTGATGGGTATGAAATCATGCAGAATTTCACTATGCAGCGCATCTAGAGATAACTTTCGTGCCTTCGCTTCGATGATTTTACCGTGCAACGGAGCTGTAGTGTAGTTAGGTAAGATGTCAAATAATATTTCCTCCGATAAATTTGTCTCAGTTCTAATTTCTAAAACACTCCTTAAAAAACTTAATAGAGGATTAATTTCTAATCCACTACATACTGGAATGCGATTCAGGTAAGCTTCCCACGGGTTAGTTAATTTACCAAACAGCTGTGGAGTAAGATAGGAAGTTCCGTTATCGGACCTTGCCTCTATGGTACGTTCTGGTAGTGATGTGCGCTGATTACATGTAAGGCCTACTACATCTGCCGCTTCGACTTTATTGGGGTCAACTTCCGCAGAACCTGATTTTACCGGAGTTGAAGTTAAAATATTTTGCGGGTTTCTGTGAGATTCGATTTTTTCAAGTAGTAGCTCGTCCTGTACCAGTGATTGATTCAATACTGTGTTAACATGCAAGATATCTTCTTCAGAGATTCCCGATTTACATTCTTCAAATTTTTTAACTATTGTTTTAAGATTGAATTCCAATTTTTGTAGGACCTCCCGACTTGCATCCTCGAGTTTAGAGCTAGCCAAACTGTTGATTCGTAGTGTTAAGTGTTCCTGCTTCGCCCGTATTTTAGCGCAATTCAAGCTGGAAGGTGGATCTTCAAGTTTATCTACCAATGTTTGCAAAACCATTAATCCGTCAGCAATATCTTTTAATTCCCCAGTTACTGTTGATTTCCCTTGTAGATTTGAAACCGAGCAAGGCTTATTAAAGTTCGCACGCAATTGCTTCCGTAAATTATCTACTCGTTCATCCGTTATTATCTCTCCCCGTACCAAAAGTTCATACTTTAGTTCAGAGCTGCTTAAATAATTAATATTAAAAGTAGCCATCTTATTCTAGTAGTAATTATTGTCCATCTACCTTTGTTACACCACATATACTTTTACAAAAGGTTCATTGCTTGCTACTGGTTTCATTCACCTCCTTTATACTCCCTAAGACATTCCACCAATAGTCCGTGGGTTTTAATAGTTTGAAAATTTATTAATTAGGTCGGAGACAACCTTATGCTGAGGTTTTACGTAGCCTACATGCACTCAAAACCAATTTAAGGAAAAAATGTTTTTCTTTGATGACACTTCAGATTTGTAATTAATGTTAATAGAAATCATAGTATGTCTTGCTGTAACTTTAAATTTACTATCCTTTAGTGGTAGACAGGTAGCTTGGATAAATCCCAATCACTTCAATGATATTGATGTTTATTTACTTGAACTCAAATTCAAAGACATGTACAACCAAAATAAATTCTTCCTTCAAAAATAAGACTACATTAAATAAACAGTTGGCTATATTAGACCCCAAAACAAAATAAATGTGTGGATCTTACTTTAAACTGTGACATAATCAGTGGTTAGGCTCCCCTGGGCTGTTCTTACTGCTACTCATAGTTATTGACATTCACCATGGCAGTATATAAGGTAATTAATTCACCTTGAATCTCGTCTGAAACATTACCCAATATACAAATAAAATGTATTCTAAACAAGGTCTAACCTGAAAATAACACATGGCTATTTAAATATTCACTCTTAAAACATTATTTAACATTAGTAAAATATTACTCGTTTGTAATACATTAAGACATCAAATAATTACAGTGATTCAGGTATTAATATAGCCACTTATTTAAATATTTCTCAAAAGGATAAAATAAGCAAAATTTAGAGTAAAATCACACGAGGACTCAACTGGTTATTACGTTATAAGCCGTTCATTGATAACTAAAACTAAAATCTTTCTTTGACAGAACATATAGGGGACCTGTAAAACATAATCACAAAACATAATTTTCAATAATACTTAAATCTAAAATTAATTAAAATAATTTCGTACCTTGTCGACGAGTTCTCAACAAACTTAGCCCAGTGCTGACCTTCCACTGACCTATGTAACGGCTAATTTTTAAATTATCAGTGGTACCACAATATAAGGCAAAATACTCTGCTATTCCCTATCAGTCAACACTACACTAATAACTAAGCTAGAAATTAATACTACATTTCCCTCTTGTGCATAACAGCAGATTGACTCAATTTTTAATTACTATATTTATTCCATGAATAGTACATTTTCATTCAAGTGTGTAACCCTTCACTTAACTCCACTAAAAATCCAACCCAACTAAAATAACCTTTATTAATAATTATACTATTGCATTTAAAATATTTTTGTATGGTAAGAATAAAAAAGATTATATTCTACGATTTATGTTCCTAATATACCTAACGTTATTATTTTATATTTTGTTCTAAAAAAATAATTTTCTGTAAATTTTAGAAATTCTAAACCTCTTTAATTTGAATTGTTTGTCTTTTAATTTTTAGTTATCAATGTTGGAAATCATCTACATTGTTTAACTATACCTTTACCGTTACCTGCACTATTAACATTGAACTGGTTAGATTAGATATATGTTTACTAACCAAAATATAATATCCTCTAATTTAGGATCGTAAGCTGTTACATCGTTGATGTAAGCTTAGCTGAAACTCCGGTACAGTAATGGTACCGTACGATAAGTACTTCAACAGTTGTTATGTTATTGCACTCTTAAGGCAAATTATTTACGATTGCAATTCAAATTTGTTTGTTTAATATTTTTGAACTATACACTAACAATGAAGTTCAGATTCTAAAAATAGCATTGGCGACGTATTGTCCTTAATAAGCACAATATATTTAGTTATGGTTTTAAAAAGCAATAAGTTATATAATAACCTATTAAATAAGTTTCATGTGAGTTAAGCCTTATCAATTCATACAACCCTTGAGATTTTTGGGGAGACGTTTCTTTAAGTTTGCTTTAAACAGAACCACTTAGTAAGAGATATTACAAAACCCAATTAGTTCTGATGAGAGACCATTTACGCAACGGCGCACGTAACATAAAAACTGAATACACAATAAAACTTGAGAGTTCGCTAACAGTTATTGCGAGATGGTTGGTAGTGGTTTAATTACTTTTATGGTTGTTACAAGTATTTCCACTATAAAAGCATTCTTATTATTTGTTTGTGGTCTCTTGGTTTATTTTAACATAAAAAGTATTGCATTTATAATTTTACAACATTAATTTTAAATTAATACGAGGTGTTAGCCCGTCCTACGTACGGGAATTCAGTAGTCAGTTAAAACCGTGTACAATTCAGATCAGCTAGTTTACACATATAAAGACAAAGTTTCTTGCAGTTTTAATGTGAAAAATCATCTTGTAAACAAATGTTGTGTGACCAAATATGTTTTTATTCCATCATAGGCCTATACGATATGCATTTTAAATCCGATAATTTTACAACTAGGTGGCGTTTGCAGAGGCATCCACAAAATTGAGCGGAGTCATCAGGGGTTCATACTATATTGTTTTTGTCATACTGCAGTAAAAACAGTCGTTTTTAATGCATGCGTTGCGGGTCTAAAGTAGCATTTTTACTCTTTAGGGAGTAAAGATCGTTTTTAGCCTCTATGGAGTAAAAATCAGTTGTTGACAACTCAGTTGTAAATTTCTATTGTAAATGATTGCATGTATCGAAATATGTATCGATTTGTGCTTTGTAATCATTTTAACCTACAGTCTACAGCTATTCCCATAGCATTTTAGCATTGCAGATACATTAATCCATTCCCACACTCAACACTGCTCACCTTTACTACTTCCTTCATCACCCCCTACGTCGTGGTTCTGTTTCCCTCTCTTCCCATAGCATTTTAGGATTGCAGATACATTAATGTAATTGCCAAAGGCAGTTCCCACACTCTGCACTGCAAGCCTTACTACTTCCTTCACCATTTCCTACGCCATAGACCTGTTTCCTTCCCTTCTCGTAGCATTTAAGTATTAGAATTGGTATATAGAATTGGAATATATTGGTATATTGACTATATAATGGTATTAGATACATTTATCTAACTGCCCAAACGGTTCCCCCACTCTCCACTGCCAGCCTTTAAAACTTCCTTCACCACTTCCTACGTCGTGGGGCCTGTTTCCTTCTCTTCTCTTAGTATTTTAGGATTGAAGATACATTGATCTAACTGCCACAGACGGTTCTCACATTATGCTCATACTTTACTACTTCGTAAGCTACTTTCTACATCGTGGACCTGTTTTCATCACTTTCCATAGCATTTTAGTATTTTAGATACGTTAATATAATTGCCACAAACATTGCCCACACTTCACACCGCTAGCCTTTACTACTTCTTTCACCATTTTCTATGTCGTGGGCATGCTTCCATCCCTTCTCATAGCATTTCAGCATTGCAGAGACATTAATCTGACTGCTACAAAGGGTTCCCAGTTCCCACACTCCACACTGTTCACCTTACTACTTCCTTCACCTCTTCTTACGTCGCGGGCCTGTTTCTCTCTATTCCCATAGAATTTTAAAGATTGTAGATACCTTAATCTAATCGTCATAAACAGTTCCCACACTCCGAAAAGCTCGCCTTGACTACTTCCTTCACCACTTCCTACGTCTCGGGCCTGTTTCCCTCCCTACCCTTAGCATTATTGGATTGCAAATACCTTAATCTATTGGTTACCGTAGAGTGGGGTGAATAGAAACACTTTTTGACTTTGAAGCTTCTGTAAAAACTATATTTTTAATTTTTAAATTTTCAACACTAGCTCATATTTCCGGTCTTGGACTCCTCTACTCGAACCAGTTATCAATTTTCTTTTCTTTTTAATCATTAAGCAGAAAATCTATTGGTCATAAACAGATCCAACACTCCAGACAACTCGCCTTTACTACTTCCTTCACCACTTCCTTCGTCACGGACCTGTTTTCCTCCCTTCCCATAGCATTTTAGGTTTGTAGATACCTTAATTTAATCGTCATAAACAGTTTCCACACTCCGGACAGATTGCCTTGACTACTTCCTTCACCACTTCCTACGTCGCGGACCCCTTTTCCTCTCTTCCCATAGCATTTTAGGATTGCAAATACCTTAATCTAATGGTCATAAACAGATTCCATACCCCGAACAGCTCGCCTTTACTACTTCCTTCACCAATTCCTACGCCTCGGACCCCTTTTCCTCCATTTCCATAGAATTTTAGGAATGCCTTTAATATTACCTTTATCTAATCGTCATAAACAGTTTTCACACTCCAGACAGCTCGCCTTGACTACTCCCTTCGTCACTTCCTACGTCACGGACCTGTTTTCTCCCTTCTCATAGCATTTTAAGTTTATAGATACCTTAATATAATCGTCATAAACAGTTTCCACACTCCGGACAGCTCGCCTTGACTACTTCATTCATCACTTCCTACGTCGCGGACCTGTTTTCCACCCTTCCCATAGCATTTTAGGATTGCAAATACCTTTATCTAAGGGTCATAAACAGATTCCATATCCCGAACAGCTCGCCTTTACTACTTCCTTCACCACTTCCTACGTCGCGGACCTGTTTCTTTCCCTTCCAATAGCAATTTAGGATTGCAGATACCTTAATATAATCGTCATAAACAGTTCCACACTCCCTACAGCTCGCCTTGACTACTTCATTCATCACTTCCTACGTCGCGGACCTGTTTTCCACCCTTCCCATAGCATTTTAGGATTGCAAATACCTTTATCTAAGGGTCATAAACAGATTCCATATCCCGAACAGCTCGCCCTTACTACTTCCTTCACCAATTTCCTACGTTGCGGACCCCTTTTCCTCCCTTCCCATAGAATTTTAGGAATGCCTTTAATATTACCTTTATCTAATCGTTATAAACAGTCCCCACACTCTGGACAGCTCGCCTTGACTACTTCCTTTACCACTTCCTACGTCGCGGACCAGTTTTCCTCCCTTCCTATAAAATTTTAGGAATGCAGATACCTAAATCTAATCGTCATAAACAGTTTCCACACTCCAGACTGCTCTCCTTTACAACTTCCTTCTCCACTTCCTACGTCACGGACCTCAAGCTAGTGTCGTCATTTGATTATATTTATGATCCATACCGTTTCTGTTCTAATATCTGTGGATTAATGCTATCAGCTATTTCTTTATCTACCGCATTCAAAAGTCAACAGCTGATCATATGTTTTTGTTTATGTGTCGAATACTGCTTCCATAAGGATTACATTGAAACTTTGAGACCCAGTGGGGCGGATTCCTGAGAGACTTTTTTAACGCCATATAGATGTTGGCACTCACCGATATGGTCTCTATCACCATGCAAAATTTGAAAACGATTGATTCATCCGTCTAGGAGGAGTTTGCGTATTACGAAATGCATAAGAGTCGACGTATAAGAGCTTCGCTCGCTTCGCTCGCTCCGCTCAATAAAACAGCAATTCTGCAATTTTTACGATGTGAAAAGCGTTGAAGTGAGATTTGCAGCCGATTCGCACAGACGCACACTGATTATAAGTAGCCTACAGTAGAGAGAGTAATAGAATAGTCAATTGAGAAGTGTATAGACCTAGTCAACGATACCACCTTCCATAGCATACCTGCCTCTTCCATAATCATTATCACAGATCACATTATCAAAATTCACAGTAGGCCTACACATAATTTAATTTAGGTGTCCTAAAATCAAAACTAATCGTCACACCTATCCTTTAAATCAATTTCACTGCATTAATTGTTAAATAAATAAGTGTAAACAAAGAAAAGTAAAAACAATAACAGTTTGTTTTGAAACAGCTGTTTGGTTCAAATAACATTCATTTGAAAAAAAAAAAACTGGTCACATGTAGCAGGAATATAAATACCCCCGCCGCAGCAAACCTGCCGACTAAGCGAATTTCTATTTGTCTGAATTGATTTTCAGTTAAATTATATTTTAATAACATTAGGTTTAACGAGTACCTAGGTTTGCTGCTACAAGGAAACAAATAAAGTGTGTTTTTGAGTAAAATATTGATAGCTTAGTACAA